AACAACCCCGCTCGGCGAGTGTGCCCGTGCTGTGCCATGTGCCAGCCCGGTCTCTGCCCACCGACGTGGCAGCAGCCACCGGTGAGGTGTTGGGGGGCTCCGATGGCTGCAGGGTCGGTCCCATCCCCACTGCGGGGCAGATGGTCCTGGGCTGTGGGATGCTTCCCACAAGGCAGATGTGTCCAGGGCTCCATAGCGGATTGCTGGATGGAGCCCCTGGCTAACGCTGCTCCTGCCCTGCGCCGTGCTGGGAGCTGCGAGCAGACGGCGATCAATGGGTGTAACTGCAGAGCAAATGCAGCAGCACTGGGCTGCTGCATCACCATCATGAAAATAAATGAGAGATTGATTTTCCAGGCAGTTTGGATCTCATGGATCTCACCGGCTGTGACAAGCGGAGCACAGGCACGGCCAGCATGGTGGGGTTGACACCTCTCTGCGCTCCCCTGCGCCAAGGGGAGGCAGCTGGAGATTTGGGCACCCTGAAAAGGGGGCAAAGCAGGTCTGAGGGGTTTCAGGTTGTCGCTGGCATTGCAGGGGACAGACATCAGGCAGGGAGCCAGGCGAAGCTGGGAACAAGGGCAGGGATGGGGAAGCGCGGTGCCCCATGCTCCCGGTTCACGGGCATCAGCCGCATCCCAAACCATAGTGAGCAGCACTTGTCTGCTCACCAGAAAGGCACTGTCTTCCTTGTAACGTCTTATCTTCAAGCTTCTCTTGCTAAGTCACATCTGACTTAATTATGGTAATTAAGATTGACATTAATACAAGATTAAAATGTGAAATTAAAATTAGCTGTGAAACTTATCTGAATTTTTAGTGTGCTTATTGATTTTCTTCACTGTTAATCAAAGGTCTGAGGTAACTGCCAATGAACATGGCGCTAATTAGAGCAATGCCCACTAAAGTGGCCTCGAGAGATGCTTCTCTTCATTTCCTTTCAAATACCCCAGGTTTCTGACCACGCAAACATCTCCAGCCCTGAGCGCTGCTAAAGGAGCAATAACACTTTCTCCTTTTCTTACATGCATCCCTGGGGCTGCCTGCCCTGCCTGCTCGCAGAGCCACCGGCTCGCTTGCTCCTGTTGGCAGCGTTCCTTGTAACGCAGCCGGGCTGCGCACGTGGTGATGCGCAGCGATGGACGGTGATGATGCACAGTGATGTATGGTGATGCACGGCGATGCACAGCGATGCAGAGTGATGCACGGTGATGCATGGTGATGCACAGCGATGCAGAGTGATGCACAGTGGTGCATGGTGATGCATGGTGATGCACAGCGATGCAGAGTGATGCACAGTGGTGCATGGTCATGCACGGCAATGCACAGCGATGCAGAGTGATGCACAGTGATGCATGGTGATGCACAGCGATGCAGAGTGATGCACAGTGGTGCATGGTGATGCACGGCAATGCACAGCGATGCAGTGATGCACAGTGGTGCATGGTGATGCACGGCAATGCACAGCGATGCAGAGTGATGCACAGTGATGCATGGCCATGTGTAGTGCTGGAGGAGCCGGTCCAGCTGGAGGGGGCTCGGGGCAGGGGGTCCCAGCTGCAGGCAGGAGGACCCCGATATTTCGGCAGGGGCAGTAGGAACGCGGTGAACCGGGGAGCGCCGAGGCTGCCGGCTCCAACGCCGCACACATCACCGTTATTTCTCAGGCTGAAATTTCACAGGCCATTAGGCCTCAGTGACGACTGCGGAAAGAAAATTATTCAAATCCCCGTTACACACCAGTTATGGGGAGCGCATCCCACAGTGCATCCCACCCTGTCCTCCTGCACTAGCTCCTTCCCGCTGCCTCCCAGCTCGCCTGAGTCCCCAGCGAAGCCCGGGACCCCAACACCTCTGCGAGACCCCGGGGCTCACCCAGCAGCACCATCCCCAGCAGCCACTGACCCCCCCCAGGCACAGGCACTGCGGGGAGTCGGGAAATGAACCCCGAGAGCCCCTCGGTGAGCAGTGGCCAACCCCAGCCGGTGCCAGGGGCGACGTCCTGGGCTCATGGGGTGCCGGGCCGGTGGGGAGCTGGGCCCTGCTGCATTCCCTAATCCCGGCTGATGAGCCGAGGCTTGGGCTTAACCATTCCCTCTCCATCACTACCAACTTTTGCCACTCAGTGGGCATTTCTGCATTACAAATACAGCATTTGTTCTTTTTTTTCCTGCCTGTTACCATGGTGCTGGTGTTATTATCTGGCTATCTTAGGAGTTTACTACAATGCAGATGAACACAATAAAAATCACTCGAGGAAAACTGCTAAATGAGAGAGACAACTTTTATCTTTAATAACGGCAGGTCAGGAGGGAAGCTGGGGATGGAGCAGAGGGGGGACCAGAGCAGGCTGCGCTCACTCCGCCGCAGATAGCTTTGTTAGACCAAATTAAACCTCTGAGCAAGCGAATCCCACTTTGTGTATGAAAATGACAGTGTTAAGTAATCTACTGCACCTCTCGGTGATTTCTCTCCCTTTCTTATTTTGTCCTTCTCTCGCCTGCTGCCCAACTGCTCCCAGCTGGCAGCAGCTAGGAGTGACACGGGGAATGCAAATGGCCCGGCTGCCCGCGCAGCCGGCTTCTCGCTCCTCAAAAATCCTGGAGCTGCCGCTTCTCCCGCTTACAGCGGCGTCGGGTGAAGGAATTCTGCAGAGCCCGGCGGGGAAAAAGGCAGCAGGATCAGGCCCTGTGTTTGGGCGGTTACTCGATGCGTTCTGTGTGGTGGCATTTGTAGTGATACCAGTACGTGATTATTGTTGCTGAGGTAACCGGAGCAGTGTAATTGCTCTCGCAGAGGTAGCAGGGACTTCTCAGATGGCGGCGTCAACAAACTGGCTATTTGGGGGAAAGGCTGGCCTCGGTCTTGTGGGGTTTGACGCTCGTGTCGTGCTTCGTGTCATTGTTCTGGCTATTTGACTTGACAGGCAGAGTGGCCGGGAGGACCAGGCAGCTCTCACCGGGAGGTGATTTACAGTAAACATTTCAGGGTAGGATTGGGGATTTCAAGAGAGCGAAGCCTCCGTTCCTGTTCTTATCAAAGTCAGTGCAATTACAGCGGGTGCTCTGACGGGCTCAGGAGGAGCCTGCTGGAAGCGCCCAGCGTACTGCAGCTGCCGGTGGCACGGGCAGGGTGGATGGGCAAGGAGCTCCTGGGAGCCATCAAGCCCACGGTCCGACCCGTAGGCGAGGGGGTTGTGGAGCTCTGGGGCTGGGGTGCTGAGCGGGGACTTGCTTTTGCTGCAGGGTT